TTGCCTCTCACTGGAATATAAATCCTTTCAATGATTCTTCTTGAAACATGGATTGCAGAATGGTAATGCACACTTCTCACAGAAAATTCTGGTTCTGACGGGACAATTTGAACAGACTTTGAGTTGCTTTCGATGAGTCATTTCGTGTATTTCCCGTTTCACTCTTCACGGTATGTAAGCTTGCAGAAGAGTCATGGACAAGAACTGGGGAATAAAACCCGAGGTTGTCCTGTGGCTATACAAGATGATATTATTATCAAAGTTGACGTATGTTGCGATTGTCTGGTGGCCAAAGGTGGAGAAGGTGGAGGCGAGAAACTTGCTCAAGAGGCTTCAGAGGTGATACCTGAGGACTGCGACAGGGGTTATGAAATCCATACCTACTGAGGCGCTGGAGATGACACTCACCTTTCTACCCTTGCGACTGGTTATCATCAGTATAGCAAGACAAGCAGCATACAGGATGAAGTGTCAGGGGAAGTGGAAGGAAACCAGACTTGGCCCGACTCGGTCTATCCGACAGGCCCCTCTTCACGCGTATGTTAAGTTAGCATCCCAATATTGAAATTCCATAGTTCTGATTAGAGTTCCCGTTTCCTTTTGTCCAGACGAAGAGTTCTCTATAATTTATTACAAGAGTTCCGCTTAATAACTATTTTTAAATAATTTTTTAAAAATGGGATGCTAACTTCTTATCGAAATTCGAGATCGAATAGTTCTGAGCGGCTCAATAGCTTTATTTAGTGAATACCTAGAGTTCCTGATGCATAAAAAAAAATTTTGAAAAATCCAAAAAAATTCAAAATTTTTGAAAAATCAAATTTTAGATACAATAGTTCTGATTAGAGTTCCTGCTTCCTTTTAACGAGACGAAGAGTTCTCTGTATTTTTTAATACGATATTCAGTTAATAACAATTTTTAAATAATTTTTAAAAAATGGGGTGCTAACTTCTCAGCGAAATTCGCGATCGAATAGTTCTGAGCGGCTCAATAGCTTCATTTAGTGAATA